TATGCTTTGGAAGTTTGGGGATTTGAACAAATTGTCAAGAAGGAAACTAGATCCAATTCAATCAAGACTAATGTTGCTGCCTCAACTCTATTGGATTATTCACATTATTAGTAGTAAATAACACTCTTAAATAACACACTCCAGATCAATTTTGAAAATGTAAATAAAAACTTAATTTTATTTAGAAGAGGAGATGAGAGAATTATTGTTGGCAGAACTATTATTGATACATTTTTGCATTTCACTTGATGTGTATTGTGCAATTTCCTTAATATATTCAAAAGTATCCATTTGAGATTTTTCACAACTAGTTAGTGTAGAATCAAAGTTTTGTTTGTGATCTGCAACAATATGAGTGGTATCAATACGAATATTCATACATGCATTTCTCTTTTGAATGAAATAAGCTTCTTCCTTAGCAATTGTTTCTTCTAATTGAGCAATAATTAATTCATTTTGATCAAGTTGATGTCTATATTCAATCTTTTCATTATGAACACGTTGACTATATTCTTCAGTTGCTTTAATTCTCTTTTCAATTTGTAACAATTCTTCTGTATGATGTTGTTTCATTTGTGAATAAATATCATCTAATTTAGAATGAGCTTCCATTAAATTATGATGTAATTCTTGTTGATCTTGTAATACTTGTTCTAAATCTAATAATATATGATCTTTTTCAATTGAAAGTTCTTGTGCTTGTTGAATTTGTGATTGTAGTGAATTTAATTGTGTTTTTAAAATTGACTTTTTTTGTTTTACATCATTAATTCTCCATCTATTAAATGTTGTACTAAATGTCATGTTATTTAAAATATTATTAGAAGTATTAACATTATTTGAAGAAATAGAATTAAATAATAAATTTTGATCAATTCTTAATACACTATTATTATATTGATTAATTAAATTAATTGAATTTTCATTTAAATTAATTAATTGATGTTTAACAATTTCTAATTGATCTTTTGAATATTTTAATTGTTTTAATAATCTTGAATCTTCTTCTTCTAAATTTAATTTTTCTCTATTTAAATTTTGAACTTCAAAAGGAGTAATTGTTTGTTGTTCAATTTGTTTTTGATAAATTTCATTTTCTCTCTTCTTATTTTCAGATTGTAA